CGGCTGGCCCGTCCCCGGGCCTTCACTGCCAGACGTGCCACGTCTTTCTGGGTTTTCCTTCTCTCGAGTTCGTTCCCTCAGCAAACGTTTATTGCGTTCTCATCAGTGACAAACCAAACAAAAGTCTCTGCCCCTGAGCTTACATCCCAGGGGTGGGGAAGGGGGACAGAGAGCAATAAAGATAATGAAGGAGGGAGTTTATGGTCTGTTTGTGGTATTAAGTGCTACATCAGATAATGGGCTTGGGCCTGCCCAGGGAAGGCAGAGGGATTGTAGTTTTGAGTAGAGGATCAGGCTGGACCTCGGACCTCGCTGAGGAGTGGCAGCTGAGCAGGGACTGGGACTGGAAGGACATGAGGACGCGTCCAGTTGGGGTATCTGGGAACGTGCCTTGTGCGCAGGGTGGTGGGAACGTGTGCCTGCAAGAAGGCAGAGAGGTCAGAGCAGACCCAGGTAAGGAGAGCACAGGAGGCAAAGTCCCGGAGGTGGGGGCTGACACAGTGGTCATGGAGGGCTTTGAACAGAGGAGCCACGTGACCTTAGCATGCTGACTGCCCACCTGAGGACGGGCTGCGGGGGTGGGGAGAGCAGGGAGGAGCCTGTAGCAGTGACCCTCGACCCTGCCAGAGAGGCTAAGTGCAGCAGGAGCATAAACCCACTGCCATCGAGAGGATTCCGACTCACAGCGACCCTACAGGACAGAGTAGAACTGTCCCAGAGAGTTTCCAAGGAGTAGCTGGCGGATTTGAACCTTTTGGTTAGCATCCTGAGCTCTTAACCACTGCGCCACCAGGCAGTATGTTGATGCATGTGTTAGGAAGGAAGAAATGAAAACAATTGATCTGCAAGTGCAACTTAAAGAATAGGGTGACAGAATAAACCCTAAGAAAGCAGAAGGAAAGAAAGAAGCAGAAATAGATGATTATAAAAAGAATCAAGATGTTTAACAAAGCATGTGGTGTGTATGTGTGTGTGAATGACTAACAAAGTAGCCGACAAGTACACATCCTTAACACGCTCTGGTGGTCCTCAGAGAACAGACATCCTGACACCAAAGCGGACGAGGACGGTCCAGGCTCATCTGTGAGCATAGATGCAAAACCTAGTAAAAGATGAGCAAATTGAGTCAAGCTACTTACTAAAATGTTAGTTATAATAGTAAAAGTATATTACTACAGTGGGACCAAGTAGGATGACCCCTGGAATGCAAGGACTGTAATATGCTTGTATGATTTACCAGAAGGTAAAAAGAGAAAACACCTTAATATCTCAATAGGTGCATTAAAAAAATCAGATAAAATTCAATACCCAATTCATGATTTTGGGGGGAAAAGCACACATACACACACACATAAACTTTTGAGCAAACTAGGAATAGAAGATAATTTATTGTTAAAAGCTATCTACCAAAATCTGCGCGTAATAATGAAACAATAAGAAGCCTCCATTTTAAAATAAGGGACAAGACGAGGATTCCCACCTTCACTGAGCTGTCGTCCGTGCCTTAAGCCCCAGCAGCACAAGAGAAGGGAAATAAAAAGTTTATGGGGTGATTGATACAAGTCCTCTTTAGGGACAAAATTAACATAAACCAGCAAAGGAGTTTTCTCTTGTAGCAGGAAGCTTTTAACATGTAAGAACCAAAACGTGAGGCTGGAGATGGTTTTTACAATAGCAGCCAGCTTCTGTTTCAGGCGGTGTGAAGAAGCAGATAACCTGAACAGCCCTCCCTCCAAAAACGACTCAAAAGCCAGTAAAACATGTAGAAAATGATCAATGCATCACTCAGTTCGTAAACTTGGGTGGAGAGTACGCGGCTGTTTGTTTCACTGCTTGCACATTTTCTATAGGTTTGAAATGTCTCAAAGTATGGAGGACGTGGTGGTGGAAGGGAAGGAGTGGGTACTGGGAGGGTGGCAAGCGGGAGCCGCCTTTCTTCCAGAGGGTGTTTGCAGGACCCCTGTGAGTCCGTGCTTCCACTGGGATGGCAGCAGTGGGGACAGTGGTGGCAGCGGAGGAGGAGAAGCAGGAGAAATCCAAGAGCCCAGTTGAGAAGGGGGGCATCCAGTATGAGATCCCTGCATGAAACCGGGGACTCTGGCCATGCCCTTGGGTGCAAGGGTCAGCAAGAGACATCCAGCATGCAGAAGACAGGAAGGACGCTTGCCACGTTGAACTCCGTGCTGGTGGAGAGGGACAGTCTCCCTTAGGATTTATCAGCACAAGCTGACCGTCATGTGGGTCTGCCCTCAAAATCACCTCTGTGGTTGGAACTGTCAAATGGAGGGTTTACTGACAGTGCTCCAGGTTGGTAGTGTTCCAGGCAGCTGGCAGAAGCAAACACAATTGTACTCTTGAATGTAACCCGTGCCTCCAAGCGTTCCCGGGTGAAGTTCCCAGAAATGTGAGCTGCCAGAAAAAATCAGAAAAGACGCAAGAAACAAAACACCACGCGTGGGAGCAGCAGACACAGCAGATATCCCAGACACAGACCTGTAGGGATTCCAGACGCTGGAGTTACGTTCACAGGACATGAAGTCAGTGTGTCTAGTATGCTTAAAGAAATACAGCGAGGTTTTAAAACAGTAAGCAGGAGTCTAGAGTCTGTACAAAAAGACCAAGTATATTTGAAAAAGAACCTGCCTCACAAGAGGTGAAAGATAAGAAAATAAACTAACCCCAAAATAAGAATGTGATACTATAAACAGTAATATTCAGAGAATTTTTAAAAAGTTCTTAGAAATTAAGAACATGGAAGCAAAAATAAATTCAAAGGAAAGGTTGGAAGGTAAAGCTGAGGAAGACTCTCAGAGGTAGAGCAAGATGACAAGTGGCAAATGAGAGGACAGAGTAAGTTAGGGGACCAGTCTGGATGACCCCGTGTTCAAATAATCAACATTCAAGAAGGAGAGAAAATTGTCCATGAAAATTCACGAGAAATTTCCAGAACTAAAGGACGTACATTTTTAGGTTACGTGGAGTGGCGGCACGTGGTGGGGTTGGGGATTGTGGCAGCACACACCGAGGTTCATCACCGTGGCGTTTCAGAACAGCAGAGTGGGGCGTGGGGAGGACAACATGCTGAGGGTCAGGACCCAGGGCGACATCAGCTTTTGGACAGTCGTGCTGCCTGCTAGCGGCATGAGCAGTGCCTTCTAGATTCTGAAGGAAAATGGTCTCCAGCCTGAAATCCATATCTAGCCAAACTCAATCAGGTGTGCAGCGATATCAAGACATTTTCCGTTGTGCAAGCTCTCACTTTTTTTTTTTTACCTCGCTTCTCCCCTTTTCAAGAAGATACCGAAGGATTTGCTTGACCAAAACGGTCGACAGATACGTACCAGGAGAGTACTAACTGAAACAAAGTCAGTCTGGCTGTGTTAGTAGCAGACAAAAGGGACTCCGAGACAAAGCGCACAAGGAGAGGAGGATCACTGAAAGTTATTTTTTTAATGTTCAGTCCACTAGGAAGGCAGCTCTAAATGCATTGCGCCTAGTAATGTATTCTGGTGTACGTATAGGAAAAATAACGGGTCTGCAAGAAGAAATTGACAACTGCACCATTAGGGTGGAAAACGTTAACCCAAGTAATTGAGGGTTAAGCCGCAAGAATTCAGCACAGAGGAAGGAACTAACCGGCACAAGCGGATTTACCTGGAGCAAGTGTGTGTGAAACAGTTCAAAAACCCACATTCTCTCAACCCCAGGTAGAAAATTAACAAAGTTGACCATAAAGCATGTTTCCATAAACTTAAAAGAATTGGTGTGCTGCCACATTCTCTAGAAGTCAGTAACACAATCAAAAATTTAAAATCTGACATTTGGAAATTAAATAACATACCTTTAAGCAAAGAAGAAATATTGGAAGTAAGGAAATACTTAGAACTGGATAACAAAAATCCCACTTATGAAAACTTGTGGGATCCTGACAGAGCAACCCCGTGGGGAAATTTATAGCTAATGAGTGCTTACCTTGGTAAAGAACAGCTGGATGTAATGAGACATTGTTAGAAGAAGAGTGGAATAAACCCACAGAAAGCAGGAGAGACTGTAATGCCCAGAGCAGGAAGTGGCTCTTTGAGAAGGGCAATGAGGCCAACACCTCTGACAAGAATCGAGACAAGGCCACGTGTACAACCAAACTTTAAGAACATTTGAACGTAATCGCAGTTGCTCCAGAGATCAGAAAGATAGACGGATATTTCAAACAACTTCATGCCAGTAAGTTTGGGAAAGTTAGATGTAATGATAAATTGTTAGAAAACATAAAACCTGCCCAAACCGACTCAAAACCTAACGTTCCGCAACCATGAAATAAATCGATAGGTAAAAATCTCGCGAAGAAACCACCCGATGGTTCCTCTGGCAAGTTCTACCAGACATTCAAGGAATAAAAAAATCCAGTCTTAACAAGTTCTCCTGGAAAATAGACAAACAGGAAAGGAACACTCACCCACTCCTTTTCTGCAGCCAACATCACCTTGATCCTAACCAAGCAGGGATCCTTCTAGAAAGGAAAATCTTGTCCAGGCCTACCCTTGAGTTGAGATGCAAAATACTGAAACCTGAGCACTTCAAGTCCAGCAGTGTTTCCAGGCTGCTGTCTCCCAGGAAGACAGGGTGCACTCAGCTTTGGAAGCCCGTTAGTATCATCTACTTCACGAAATCAAAAGGGGAAATTGTATGACCAGCTAATACTCATTTGTGAAAACCACAACAAAAACTTCGAGCTAATCAAGAGTAAACAGGACTCCTTAGTGTGGTGAAATACTAAAGATATCTCCAGAATCCGTAGGGCAAACCTTGGTGCTCACAGAGTGCCCCTTTAAGATCAGGAGTAAGAGGTGGTACTCACTGTGGCCATTTAGAGTCAGACATTGTCCATGAGGCCCTCACCAGTACCTCATGACACACAAGTAGAAGGATAGGGACTGGGAAGGAAGAACCGGAACTCCTGTTGTTTGCAGATGATGTGACATCTGCATAGCAGCTTGAGGCAGTCTACAGAACCCTGGGACCTGGCTGAACCAAAAAAAAAAAAAAAAAAAAAACCAAACTCATTGCTGTCGAGTCAATTTCAACTCATGGGGACCCTATAGGACAGGGTGGAACTGCCCCCTAGAGTTTCCAAGGAGCGGCTGGTGGATTCAAACTGCTGACCTTTTGGTTAGCAGAGGTAGCGCCTAACAACTACCCTGGTGGTGCTGTGGTTAAGAGCTCAGCTGCTAACCAAAAGGTCAGCAGTTCAAATCCACCAGCCGCTCTTTGGAAACCATATGGGGCAGTTCTGCTTTGTTCTATAGGGTCGCCATGAGTCGAAATTGACTCGACGGCGGGGGGTTTGGTTTTGGGGACCTGGCTGGGGAGAGTAAACATGGGCAACTTACAAGGAAACTGGTAGTATCTAGGTAAACTTTAAGGCTCAGTAGCTTACACTTGGTGGTTCTGCTCCTGCACTGCATGCAGAGAAACACTTACCCCTGTGTAAACATGGCCAGGAAATTCTCAGCAAATAACAACAACCTGGAAACATCCCGCGTCCATCAGCAGCAGTGCAGATAAGCAATGTTGTGAGCTGCTGTGGAGTCAGCCTGACTCACGGTGACCCCGTGCACAACAAACAAAACGCCGCCCGGCCTGCGCCACCCCATGGTCGTTTGCACATTGGACTGTTGGGACCCATAGGCTTTTCATTGGCTGATTTTTGGAAGTAGATAGTCAGGCATTTTTTCCTTGTCTGTCATAGTCTGGAAGTTCAGCTGAAACCTGTCCACCATGGGTGACCCTGCTGGTATTTGACATACCCAGTGGCATAGCTTCCAGCATCACAGCAACACACAAGCCCCCACAGTGTGACACTGACAGACTGATGGGTGGGGGTGGAGGTTAAGAGCAGACTGCTCAGAATCGGGGGCTGTGCCAGGGGCGCCCTGGCAGAGCACGACCATGGGCACTGGTGGGGCCTGGGCCCTGGGGGCGCTCGCTCCAGGGAGCCCTGAGCCAGAGCCTGGCTTCCGTCAGCAGGAAGAGGTGGCTGTGTAGGGCTGTGGACGCTGAGCAGAGGTTCTTGGCCTCCAGGCAGCACCTTGTGCCCCGTGGACGGCCAGCTTTTCAGTGCTTCCTGTCTGCTTAGTTAGACACAGTGCCACATGACAGCTTGTCCCGGGTCACCGGGGGCGTGTGAGCAGTGGCAGCCCTGGCCCGCCAGCCTCTCCCCACTTCCCAGCACTTAGTAATTGTTGACAGTCACGTGTGGCGGCAGGACAGACTAAACATTGTGACGTTGGCCTGTCTTCTCTTTATGGTTCTGCCTGCCCCAGTGAAGATCGTGATCCGTGGGGACCGGAACACGGGCAAGACGGCCCTGTGGCACCGGCTGCAGGGGAAGAAGTTTGTGGAGGAGTACATCCCTACCCAGGAGATCCAGGTCACCAGCATCCACTGGAACTACAAGGGTAAGGGTGGGTGCTTGCCGTGGGGGGGGGGGCGGGGGGCTCCTCCCACAGGATGAGGCTTGTCCCCCGTCACCCTTTCTCTGCATGACCCCTTGGAGCTTCCCCTGACCTGGCATCTTGGGAATGAGCTTGTCTGGGTGAAACTCCTATGTGTGGGGTGTCCCCGGGGACTCGGGGCTGGCATGGGGGTCCTGCTGAATGCTGGGGACTCGGGGCTGGGGAGGGGTCCTGCTGAAAGCTGGGGACTCAGGGCTGGGGAGGGGGCCCTGCTGAAAACTGGGGACTCGGGGCTGGTAAGGCAGTCCTGCTGAAAGCCAGGGACTCAGGGCTGGGGAGGGGTCCTGCTGAAAGCCGGGGACTCGGGGCTGGTGAGAGAGTCCTGCTGAAAGCTGGGGACTACGGGGGCTGGTGAGGGGGTCCTGCTGAAGGCTGGGGACTTGGGGTGCTGGTGATGGGGTCCTGCTGAAAGCTGAGGGCTGAGGGGGCTGGTGAGCAGTTTTGCTGAAAGCCAGGGACTTGGGGAGTCTGGTGTGGGGGCCCTGCTTTAAGCCATGCCTAAAGCACCCTGTGTCCTGGGTTGGGATTCATTAGAGGCCTGCTCAAGGTTCGGAGCCTCAGGGTGGTGGCTGAGCCACTGCTGGGAACCAGGCACCAAGGGAGCCGTGGCGTGCAGCGCGTGGGGCCGAGGGCCCGAGGGAGCCGCGGCGTGCAGCGCGTGGGGCCGAGGGCCCGAGGGAGCCGCGGCGTGCAGCGCGTGGGGCCGAGGGCCCGAGGGAGCCGCGGCGTGCAGCGCGTGGGGCCGAGGGCCCGAGGGAGGCATGACCAAAGGCCACTGGGGGATGTCCCCCAGCACACAGAGGCCTCTTCGGGCGACAGGCCCTGCTGTGGCTGCCTGGATGCGGGTGACCACCACCTGCTCCTTGCAGCCTCAGTGCCCTAGTCTGCTGATGAGGTAGACATCCTCCCAGGATTGCTGGGCGTCATTTGGTTGGCATGGCTGATGGACAGCTCCTTGTCCTCCTGGCCTCAGCCAGGCTGCTTGGAGGCCTGGGCAGGCGCATGGTGGACATTCAGGTTCTGGGCCGGGCATGTCGTCCGGGCAGGCGCAGGGCAGATGCTTAGGTTCTGGCCGGGCATGTCGTCCGGGCAGGCACAGGGTGGACACTCAGGTTCTGGGCCAGGCATGTCATCCGGGCAGGCACAGGGCAGATGCTCAGGTTCTGGGCTGGGCATGTCATCCGGGCAGGTGCAGGGCAGATGCTCAGGGCCGGGCATGTCGTCCAGGCAGGCGTGCAGTGGGCTATGGATGTTGGGGGGAGGCCCTGGTACACTGTCTGGACAGCCTCCATGGAGGCAGAGGAGCTGCTTCACATGTTAAGGAATCCTGACAGCAAAAATACTTTGAGCCATTTTAAACTCTCTTTTCATTAAGAAAATAAAACACTACTTAGCATTTTAACAGAGAGACATGCGGGGGCCTTTTTTAAATGCCAGTTCTAACTCCATTTAGTAACATCCTTCTGCATGTGATCACAGGATCATCCTCGTGATGAGCAGCTCCTGTCAGCATCCTGTGTGACCATCCGCGTGTGGATGCCTGCGTGTGAACGTTTGTGTGTGACCGTCTCATGTGGATGGCTGTGTGTGAACGTCTGCGTGTGACCATCCCGTGTGCCTGCCCGTGTGTGAACGTCTGCGTGTGACCATCCCGTGTGCCTGCCCGTGTGTGAACGTC